ATTATTATGAGATTAGTTTGACATTATTAGAAAAACCTTTAATTTGAAGTGTCGTCACTTCCGTTGACGGTGTGTATTTCCGGCTCGGAGCAGCAGCCTGTCTTAACTCAGCTTTAAACGGCCGATTTGTGGCTTGATCCGTGGATGAGCTGCAGAGTCATATGAACCGGATCATGGCATAAACATGGCCCATAATAGAAGCTTTTTTCTCGAAGGTAAGCCGTGACACTCGGTTCCGTTTGACCCGCACTCTGCCTCCGTGTTCCGGCTCGGGTTCGTGCAGGTTCAGGCTGTTCTGCTGGCTTGTACGAGCCGCTCATCCTCTCAACCTGGCGGGGAGAAGGCAGCCTGCCAGGCCGGTGGTGGTGCCTCATATTTGGGCCTGTAGTGGAGGAGCAGACCCCGGTGGCTCGGACCGGTTCGGTGGGTCCTGTCCCGAAGCAGATATGGAGCTAGCTCCGCCGTTAGCGGCGGACAGACCTGGATGTAGCTGCAGAAGAACCAGGCCTTCCTGTCTCTTTGGGGCTGCTAGCCTTCACACATGTTTTCCCAACACAGAAAGATGCCCCGACAAGTAAACAATAAACACGGATTGTTTGAACTGATAGCATGAAAACTGCTCCATGCTAAATAGCATGCTAACTAGTTAGCTTCAGATGTAAACAGAGGCAGCGTTTTATTGTTCTGATGGACTGAGGTGAGCTGGCAGCTCACAAAAAGCAGTAAACAACAACAAAAACATCAACAATGCTGCCTTGTTTACAGGCAGCTCTGAACCAGAGCCAGAATGCTAGAAACTAGAGGGTCCTCTGTTGATCCTCTCAGGGTGTCCTGTTGGACCTCTGTTGGTCTCTTGATGGACCTCTGAGGGTCTTTGGGAGGATCTCTGTTGGTCTCTTGTTGGACCTCTGGGGATCTTTGGTAGGATCTCTGTTGGTCTCTTGTACTTCTGATGGACCTCTTAGGGTCTTTGGTAGGATTTCTATTTAAACATAAAAACAGCATTTTAATAACAGCTAAAGATGACATAGATACTTTATTATGGTATAGTATTTAAATATATGCCTGAGAAATACATAATATTGCCCCTTTAAACTCCACCCTTTACCCTCCTCTGAACTCTCTTTCTTTTCTAACTCCTTCTCTTATTTCTCTAAGTACTCTTCTCAGAATCATCCCAAACACTACTGACTGCCATATACAGTACATATACATATACTTATACATATACATATATTCTTATTTTCAAGATTTGACTAAGATGGCTTTAACTGTCAATTCTCAACATGTCAGTAAGTACCATGTAAGTACACTTTAAGTACACTCTGTGTACAAGTACCTCTGTAAGTACTATGTAAGTACCATGCTAGTGCATGTAAGTCCCCTGTAAGTGTAAGTACCCTATAGGTTTTGATTTTGATTTTGATTTATTTTTTTAACAGGAAAAGATTGTTAAAAATCAAGCTTGACTAAGCATAATTGCTGTTTTACAGCAGGTTCCTGTTCTGCAGCACATAAACACTCAGAATTACAGCATCACAATCACATCATTATACACCATAGACACAAAAACAAACAAGCATAACAAATTTCAGGAAGGCAGCATTTGCAAAATAGGACATCTAACAAAAAGTGTCCAGCAGATGGCAGACAAGATTCTTCTTAAAGGGCTGTGG